CCCCTATACTCTGACCATCGCAGCAGACTTACTGCAGCTGTTGAACGACTTGTCCAACAACGTCCCACCGTTTCCCTCCTACTTCAAGGTTCACCAGACCATGACCCTATTATCAATAAGCAACTTTCAGATGCACTTCACACGTTTATAACATCTACAAAAAGATTTACTTCCGGCTGATCCTCTGCTTTTCCATATTGTACTAAGTTCTAGTTTTTACGGTATTTACATGCCTTAGCACCTTTCTAATCTTAGCTATTTTTGTATATAGATGTACATGATTCTTAGCTTTTTCTTGTTATTCAATTGTATTTGCTGTTTGACATGTATATTGTATGTATGTATGTATATTCTATGTATGTGGCCACGCCATCAGCTGGTTAGCTGCCTTGTGTCCACATTGTATTGTCTTCGTCGCAATTTCAATAAATAAATAAAGACTGGAGTTGTACAGTCGAAAATTTGGGCAAGTCCAATTTCTTGTGTAGAAATTTTACAGCTTGCTCCACAATTAGGAAAACTTGACTTCCCATTATGTTTTATATATAGTAATGACAGGAACGTTGGGACTTGAGTGTCTTCAGTGCTTCGCCACTTCTCTTCCTTCCTCGTCCGAAGCCGTCGATCGTTGCCGAAACCTCACGAACCCAGCCGAAGCAGAGCCGTGCACAGACGGAAACGCCCGATATTGCTTCGTGCAAGAGAAAATCGTGGGTACGTTACAACAGAATCACTTTAAACCTCCTTCAGGTTTTTTTTCATGTTCTCTGTTATATTTTGAGTGATATTCACAATTTCGAAGGTATTACGCATAGCAAGTGAATGTCATTTTTGGCGTCTGCCTGAGAAACAAGCCCAAAGACGAGTCCTTTATATAATTATTTTCTGAGTGGTACCTAAAAATCAGCCCAGGATCCTACCAGTAACCGTACGTTTTCCGTCAAGTTTCTGCCATTTTGCTCCATGAATTTCAATATACAATGGAAAAGTGTCGTTTCAACTTAGAATGTACAAATGTAGATAAGTGACAAGAATTTTGAATTTTAAAAAAATCAGATTTTCAAGTCCTAAAAAGAGCATTGGGCACCTTCAATACTTGCTGTGGACTTTTGAGTGATATTCATAGTTCAGGTTGACGTCGTTGTTCTTACGTATTAGGTCACAGCAAGTGATGTTTATTGATGGCATTGGTTTTTTTTGGGGGGGGATTATGAGATGGAAGCTTGGAGGTTATGATCAACCTCCTTGCTGTGATCGCCATTTTTTTTCTCCCCCAGCTGACAGAACTACCCAGTTCAACAGAGGATGTTCTCGTACCCAGGTTGGTGCGGGTTGTCGGGAAATGCCGGAACCAATCGTTGAAGGCACAGACTGCATCGTGTACTGCAACGACTTTCCGGGCTGCAATAATGCCACCAGCCGTGCGGTGGCGCTTCACGTTCGTTCTGTTGGCGACGTCAACCTGTTAACGGCTGCGTCGTTAATCGTGTTTATCGTTCAATTTTTTTTCTATCCATCTCTTTTGAAGACTTTTGATTAAGGTCGTAGAACGCAGTATTAATGGGCGCGGGTATGACGCGGGTATAGAAAATAGTAAAGCGACTATTCCTGAATATTGGGTAGAAAGCCTGATATGAGCGACAGCCAGATATAAATTGTGCTGTGTGGTGTAGGAATGTATCGGGTTTGAGACTGTATGATTTGAATTGTGAAGGTATTGCAGTTTAATTCGTGTATAGATGCGCCGTATTACGCAACTGGCTTTCCGGGTGAGTCGGCTGCAGTTCAGTTGACGTCCGTAGAGGGCGATTTCAAAGTGTACGTTACGAGCAGATACGCCGACAGGATTTTTTTTTTTGTTTCTAGATATTTTGTAGTTTGTACCTTCTAGTCCAACATATTTGATTTTCGTATTTGTGAAGTGCACCCTACTATAATTTTCACCGCGTCAAATTGAGTCATCTTGGGGTCCATAACTATATATATCTATAGACATCCCCATAGGGCGAAAACTGTGTTCTGCTACCTTGTATCCTTGCTATATATGCCGCTTGGCATACATCAGACAAAGAGTTGTCACATACACAGCATTACGTCGGTCCACCCTGGCTACCGTGTTTTCCCGCCAAAACAAACGGCTAATGTGGCCAATTTAAGTCAGGTGATCCTTGAAAAGCAAACAGTGGTCCGGATCGGGTGTCACGGTTCGAATGGACTCGTGGGGTCATGTGGCGTAGGGGCAGAGTGCTCGACTCGGAACCAAAGAGGTCCCGGGTTCGAGTGCTGACATGCCAACGATCTTGTGCCCTTGGGAAAGTCACTTAAGACGACTTTCCTCACTTGAATGAATGAACGAAGGAACTGGTTTATTTATTATATACAACACACATACCATTGCAGCCTTACATGGCTTACAGTATTGGCTTAAGTGTTTTGGAATAGGGTTGTATTTAGAGACACATTCACTGTGTAACATACACGCAAACGCTCACACACTAGTACCCCCCCCACACACACACACACACACATGCATACATCACACACAGACGTACATACACACAACTAAACATCATCACACGACTTCATAAATTGACAAATAACATATCACAATACAGAAACTTTGTTTATTCCATGCGTTAGAGATTAGATCTTGCGGGGTACAGTTCATACATACGTCATCCAAGCTTTGGCCAAGATACAACTGTCTACATACATAAAACCGTTAGATTTTAATTAAAGATCGCAGACAAACAACAATGATAGCAGACTACAATAATGTTGACAACGATAATAGCAGTTTGACTGCTATACTATCAACCGAGAGAAATACAGACAGAATGGATTGATAAAATGTACAAGTTCGAAAAGTTGGTCATGGTTTAAAGTCCTTTGTAAGCTATAAGACCATACTGAATCAAGTAGCCCTGTCATATCCGAACAGATAGAGAAACAATCCGGCACATCGAGGGCAAGATTTGAAAAAAAAATAGAGCATATATAACGGTTTATTTCTTACTAAAACTTGGAATCATGTGTAGGTACGATAGAACATAACTAGTATAGAGACATTCTGTACCATACCCATAGCTAAATCATTCCGAAACGTTTAATTAACGAAACACAGCAAATCATTGTTTGCATCTTTAACTGCAAAATAGAAAATCAAATCAGATCATTAGCCTCCATAGCATGCCAAAAAACTGGGGGTTTGGGGGTCTTTGGGATCTTTTATGTGCTATTTTCTGATTGCATATAGACAACCTAGCCGGCCTGGTTGAATTACCCCCGTTTTTTTAGAACAGGGCTAATCAGAAAACAGCGGAAGACCACCAAACCCCCAGTTCTATAAGCCTGCTACGGAGGCTATCAGATCATCCACTTCAAGCAGGTTACTGCCGCTGTTGGTTGGCTGTTTGAAACAACGCCGCCTAGCGGATGTTAGCTAGTATTGCCATGAGCAGTGGCATGAGCAGCATCTCGATGACGTGAGCGAGGTTGGGAGCCCCCGAGGATGCGGTGGTCATGGTCCCATTCGCGGTCGTGGCCGCGGCCGTCGTGGCACCGGTGGCTGCTGCGGCGGTGGATGCGGCGGCGGTGGTCGTGGCTGTGATGGTTTCTGTTTGATATAAAAATCCGTATCATTTATTTGCGTATAAATAGGTAAATATCCATCACCGCGACGAGGGCCGACATCGTTTACCAGATAGCTTTAATGTTAACGTCCCACTTCAAAGAAGCCACGTGACAAGCCTCACTGGGTCAGTCTACTGAGGAAGACCAGAGTGACTGGTCGAAAGCTCTAGGTGAGAGAACTTTATTGTGTTGGATCTTAAGTTTTAACTAAACATATCGAAGAATGTTCAGACCTTAGAAAAAGTAGTATAAGTCGATTCATCCATCGTCTTGTACATATTAGGTCAATTCTTTTATACTCTTTCTGTATGTTTAGTTATAGACCTATACGAAAGTCGCTATATTTCTTTTGTGTCAATGAAGTTCTCTTTATTCCACCGAGTTTGCAAGAATATAAATCGCGAAGCTGGCGTCACGCAACAGAAAAATAGTTCAGTGAAATTCTAGTAAAACTATATTTGATACTTAGAAATATGCTTGCTAAGTTTACACTTTAAAATGTATCAAAATCTACAATGTACAAGCATAATGAGCATCAACACTTGAAAAACAGAAAAGGAAAGAAAAAATTCTTACCGTATGCAAAAGCAAACAGGAGAAGTGCAACCAGGAGAGTCCTCATCTTTAGGATTGTAGTTCTTCTGTGGAAAGACAGACACTTGTAAATTTTATGATCAATGTTAAAATATGTATACGTCAGGGTATATACTACGATCTGGCAGAATCTGAAGAGATCCCGATCACAGTCTCTCTGTTGACAGAAACTGCGATCAGGATCTCTAGATCTGTCGGTATCGAGATTCTACAAGTGGAGATCCCGATCCGAGGCCCGATCGAGATCTCTACCGGTAGAATCGGCGTTTCTGTCAGATCACAATCTCTAGATCTACTTTGTATTTAACATAATGATGAGACTTTATTTGCATTAGGGTAGGGGATTCTAAAACTATTGTAGTAATCCCCTCTCTGCCATCTTAAACAAGAATGTGTTAAAGATATGTTAGACGGTAACCTGATGATTTGGCGTCGGATGAACTCTCGCGTTGATTCGTTGATCTCGCGAGACTTCGGCTCTTTGAAAAGGAGGCGGCCAAACCATATTTGTAACGGTCGACAGACCAACCCTACTTTTTGTTGGACAGTATTTTATCTATTTATTGAATCATATCAGTTAAGTCAAATACAATTTCCATGTGAGTTCTTAATAAAGAGTTAAAATAAAAAGGTTGGCAAATTTTGCTTTGTGTTAAACAGTAGTTTTCCAGTCTGTTTTGTTAGTATCTAGCTGACTCATATGTCTGTAGCAACCTTTGTTACAACCTAAACATTCCATCTACTAGGGCCTTAGACACCTGTGTTGCTGGCAAAATTGTTGGTCCAAAAATACAGAATAACGCAAGACACTTGGACTTAATTAGACAGCAAGATAAAGTTCAACGTGCTTTAAGACACTTAGGACTATTCTTCAGTAATACTTAAAGTTAGACACCGAGAAACCTTTAATTTAAGTCGAGGCTATCTTCAATTCAGACGTGAAATTATCGTATTGTGGTGTGAAGGTTTTCGTACATTCTATAAAAAAAATTTTATGGTTGTCTCCTTTTTCTTGTAAAAAGCTATTAAAGTGAAGTAGGAAACTATATCCTTGTTTCAATTTTTTTCGCTGGCTATATGTAAAGACTGCGATCTTTATCCGTCCAAACATTGGCCAATGTGTGCCTTTTTATCATATTATTCTTTACAAGGTACTGTAATGAACATTAGCCACAGTCAGATTGAATTATGCCAGTTTTTGGGACTAACCGATGGTTCACAGTTTCCAAAATTTCTTGCACCTTAAAGGCAGTGATTGGAGAAATCCGGCTAAAAAATATAAAGAAAACGTGTGGGTGAATTTGGCTTATTAGACATAAGGTACGGTCTACAAGACTACTCATTTTCAAAAGCACAAATTTAAAAGGATAAATTTAGATTACTCGTACGGATAAACTGCTGTTAAACACCTTTCAGCTCTTGGCTTAGTAAAGGCGCCATTTTTAGGTGTGGTCTATTTCTAAACGATTAAAAATGGATGAGTAGGGATTGTGCCTTCCTATATACCAGAGAAAATCATCGCAATTTAAAAACGTAAAAAAATTAAACATGGGAATGGAAAAATTATACATATATCTGCCGAGACCAAATACTGGCAGGGATAGAACGACACATGTACACTTCCTTAAAAAAGAGAGAACTAGCGGGAATAAAACAGACAAGTCACGAAGGTATCACTCTAAATCCAAATATTTCCCTTAAACCCACTACCACAGCTCTAAAACCTACTCAATAACATAAAATATATCATTTACAGCTATGATAGACAGATTTTGAAGTAAAAAAAAAGCGATTCTTACCTTGTGGGGTGTACAGAAGATGAACGTTGGTCTCAGCTAGCCTGGATATACCTGCTCAGACGAAGGTGAGTTGTGAATGTCGTCCGGCCTGACATAAGGTCAGACGTCTTGAATAGGTGTCTGTGTAATGTATACCGCCCCTCTCTGTTTACCCTGTCTCACAAAAGGATAGGTTTGCCCGCCAAAACAAGGCAGGTTCTTTCATCCGAGGCAAACATTGACACCATCCAGGCAACCGAATTTTTTGTTTGTTTTGGTAATGATGTCAGTGACTTTGTTACAGGGTTTGGGTCGGGTCATGTGAATCGTTGCAGGCATTTATGAGCCATGGTTACTTTCTATTCTTGTAACGTTGCACCATTGTGTGTGTGAGGAAGGAGGGGTCATGGATACAGATTGTTTTCCACGCGTGACTTTTGGGAGGAACTGTCGCTCTAAAACAAGGCATGGCAGCCCAGCAAAGAAAGCCAAAGGCATGGCGAGCGGATAGTGCTGTGTAAAGGAAGCGGTGTTTAGGATGTTGTTCCTTAAGTTGTGCGTTCAGGCATGTCAGCCCCCTACCCTACCACAGTGCCCCCCTCGCACCCCTAACAGTCAAAGCGTCCGTCTCACTCAGACCACACTGACTATATAATTATGTGGATGACATCCACGTTTCAACTTTCCTCTGTTCCTGAAAAAAGGACAAAAAAAAGGGAAGTTTGGGGCCGCATGAAAATAGGACGACAAAGGTAATACTCGGAAACGGAAAAGAAAAGAAAAGACGATACCAGAGGAAGGGAGAGATAGACAGATAGATAGATAGATAGATAGATAGATAGATAGATAGATAGATAGATAGATAGATAGATAGATAGATAGATAGATACGCTTATTGATAAACAGCTATCTGTACCCGATGGAAAACTATATACATGATTTGTAGATCTCAAAAAAGCATTCGATTCTTTGTGGAGAAATGGCTTTTTCTATAAAATCTTGTCAGAAATAGGTAGCAACATAGTATTTGGAAGCCTAGGTCTACACACACGCCACGTACGCCAAATTAACCTCTCCGCTAGAAAAACAGCGACTGCAAAAGACATTGTTTAGTACAAGTCAAGTGCAAATGCCAACATACCCACTTTTTATGTTTGACTTCCTAGACACGTGCTGTCCGTATGGTTAAGTATGCATTGTCATAACACGGCCTTTCCTGTCCCTATACACCCACTTTGTATAACATATGTTAACTCGGTCTCGGTAGAGCAGTCGTTTTAGACTCTTAGACGTCAGAACATGTCTATTATAAGTAGGCTTGTATTATAAGTAGGCTTCAATCACCTCAAAGATTGTTAACTTTCAAGATTTTAGAGCTAGTCTTCTTTAGTCTCTTTTTTTAATGAAAAAGTCTTTTTACTCTTTTTTTAAATTAAAAAATATTTTTTACTCCCCATCTAAAAATAGTCACCCACCGGCGGTGCCAGTTTTTACATCAAATTATGGTATTTTAGTCGTCTGTGTTCTAGTCTGTGGAAGTACGCTCATCACCAAAAAAATGGATACAAAAAAAATTAACACGTGTAAAACATATAGTGCGGAACATTTGTTTAGACTGTTAAGGAGTCCCTTGACAACCAGACAACAAGAACGGGTATAAGGGGAACACCTAACGATCGAAGGCAGTACTGCAAAGACAGTCACTGGTTGTACACAACGTTTATCAAGGGTTTAAGGGATTTTGTATCCATTCTTCATTCAATTTGTAAGCTTAGGGTGAACAACAGTTAAGACGTCAAACATAGACTATATTTCAAACTTATCAAATTTCTCGGTAAGAAATTCACTGAAAAATACAGATATAACGTTTTGTAAAATTTCATATCAAGCTAACTTGTTTATCTACGCCAGTATGGAAACATATACTCCCCCAAGCTCCATGCATCAATAGTTCGAACGACACAGACACAATATAAAGCTACACAACTTTGAAGCCATGGTTTTATTCACGGTACTCCATTTTAGGTTACAACCAGTCACATCAAGGATCACTCGATCCAAATTATGTCAAGATACAAACTAGGTTGAATTTACATGAACAAATGCCTCCGCTCTTGAGGCGTCGCCAAAAATACTTTATCATTGGGTTCCATATATTTGTCTATCCTTCAGATTCTATATATTCTAAATTTGGGAAAATGTAATCATTATAATACCTTTTGTATTTGAAATAACAGTTACAACAATTTTGGTAATGCATGCACGGTAAGAGACAATTTGGTTCTTCATCTTAAGATTTCTTTGAGCGTTTGAACATTTGAATCTTTGCAGCATTGGCAAGCAGCACAAGAGTTTAAATCCAACAAGAAAGGATTTAAAATGACAAAATTTCACACGATTCCGTTTAAAAACAGCACACGACTTACTGAAACTAGCCCAACCCGTCTTCGAAGTACAGCCGTGAACGTGAACTATCAGGTATTAGTGACATCACACCGCGGACTTTTTATCAAACACGTTTCCGTCACCTTTTCACTTACAGCAGCCACAGTGTGGCCGCTATATTCCAATCAGGATACGTGGCTGATAGGGCCGGGGCTTCTGATGGAACTTTCAAATTACCCCGTATAACTATAGTCTTCACCAGACCAACAACGAGGGCTGAGAAAAAGTAAAGTTTATCCGAATAGGGAGAATAATTAGCAAGGAGAGTTTAGCCACAGTAGAATTCACTTGCCCGCGCAGATTAGGGGCAAATATTACCCTTAACGTGGCTAACAGCCCTGTCTAATTATTGACCCTTTTTGGCGTATTTTACTATCCTTAACCCCTTATGAAAGCCTGGTGAAGGTCAGCATAACTCAGTGATCTTTAGTAAGTTGTCGTAGCCCATCCTGTATGGCTCTATCACCCTCCCCTCAAAATTCACACGGCACTGACTTGACTTGACTTCAGGGCAGTTTCAGATGCAGACTGTTCACACACACTCAGTGCAGGAGCTTGGCCAAGATGGCGGACACCAGCAGGAACAGTGCGCTTGCGCGGACCGTCCCAGCGCCGCTGCCACTGTTGCAGCCGTCGGTGTTGCAATACGTGTTGCAGGTTGAGACGCCCAAGGCTGTGACGCAACCGGCAAGAAGTTCAGATGCGGCGCAGGCACGGGCAAAAGACGTGGTCGATCCGCCTGTCAAACAAAACACAGTATATTTTATTACCTCCGAAAGAAGGTTCTGGTCTTTTGGTAGCGTTTGTATGTACATGTGGGTATATGTAAAACGTCTGGGTAGCCCATTCAGCTTGTCGCTTTCCGATGGGGCCCAGCTATATATACAATATGTACGCATATGTTATATGTAACGTCAGTAAGAAACATTTAGAATTCACCATGTTGCAACTGATTTTATTATATGGATGACATCCTCTGAGAACTCCAAAACTGTTTCGAACGTGTGCTTAAAAAATTGACAAAAAATTGCCTTCATTATAAAAATCTACGTGCTCAAAAGGCTAAACACTGAGAGTATGAACGGTGAATGATAGACTACACACTAGTCCATTTTTATTTCTTAACATGCTCTTCTTTTCCTTTGGAATTGAGTTTGGCATTCTACGACATAAGTTAGCCTCCTGTGCAGCCATCCTACATAGCCGCCGAGAGAAGGTTGCTGGCGGAAAGCAACCTTCTCTCGGCGGCTATGTAGGATGGCTGGCTATATTAAAATAACGCGTTAAAACTCTTCTCCACCGCCGCGGGGCCTGCACAGGAGGCTAGACATAAGTATCGTTTTCCAATATTTTTCTTTGCGCTTTACGGCATATGTTTTCTCACTTGTCAGCTACTTTGGACTATATATAGTACGGTCAATACCTTTTTTTTTGGGGGGGGGGGGTTATGCGCGCGCGAATGTCATCCATTTAATCAAATGAACATGGCCTAATCAATAATTAAAACAGGAAACGCAACGTACCTGAAGTGACTTTC